GTTTACATAGTCTGAGAAGAAGAGAAGATGCCCCTCTTTGATGGTTTCTTTGTCTGTACACCGCAAGCCCTCGAGCCAGCGAATGCAATCCATAACGTTTTCTGCTGCTCCCTAATAAAAAAAAAAATAAATAAATAAATATATAAATTAATATTATTTGTTTAGTTTTTTATTTGCTTTGTTAATAAAATAAATTAAATATTTTAAGCAACAAACACCTGGCTGCTTCTTTTTCTTTTTGTTTAATATATAAAAAAAAAACGCAGAAAAGAAGACAAAGAACATCAGAATTTACTTCTATCAAATAGTTTTTACTGTCTCTCTTTTTATGTTTGTTTTTTTGTTTTTTTGTTTTTTTTGTTTGCTTTGTGTCTGTGTGTTTGTGTGTTTTTCTTTTTGTTTGTTTCTTTTTCTTTTTGTTTGTTTATTTGTTTGTCTTTCTTTTTTTTTGTTTTTTGTTTGCTTGCTTCAGCATTGTCTTACTGCTGCGAAAATAAATTTATTAAAAATAATAATATTAATAGTAATATTAGTAACAATATAATTTAATTTAATTTATATTAAATTAAATTTATTTATTTTATTTTATTTTATTTTATTATTTATTTTTTTATTTTCTTACCTCAATAAACAAAACAGCAAAATGAGCTACGTAGAGGCCGATGCCAGTGATAGCTTCTGCTGCTGATTTGTTTGTTCTAGCTTTGAGCCCATCTGAATATAAATAAAATATAAATATATTTTATTTATATTTATTTTCTTTTCTTTTTTTTTATTTTGTTCTTTTGGTTATTTATTTTTATTTCTTCTCTTTAGCTGCCTTGGTTTAGGTTTTGTCTCTTTTGCTTTATTTTCTTTCTCTCATTCTAGTTGCTGCAGCAACACTTCTGTTCTGTGCAACTGCTGCTGTTGCTGCTGCTGCTGCTGCTGCTGCTGTTGCTGTTGCTGCTGCTGCTGCTGCTGCTGTTGCTGCTGCTTATCAACTCAAGAAATGATTGTATTCCCTCGCGTTAAGAAGAAGAGCAAAACCTTTGTAGAATTAAATAAATATAAAACTAACTAAACTAAACAAAGGAAACAACAAACTTTAAATTTATTTTATTTCGTTTTATTAATTTCGTTTTACTTTGTTTAGTTGAACTTATTTTATTTTGTTTTATTAACTTTGCTTTATTTTCTTTAATCAATTAAATTTATTTTATTTTTTTTAGTTTTTTGTTTAAAAAAATAAAAAAAAATAAACAAAAACCCACCATCCAATAGATCGAAATTTGGGTTGTTTTTGTTTAGAGTCAAAACCAGAAGAAGACGGCTCCTCAGTGGCTGCAAGCAACAACTAAGGCATTTATAAACTTTTATATTTTTTTCTGTTTATTTATTTTGTTGTTTATTTATTTTTTTGTTTATTTATTTTGTTATTTATTTATTTATTTTGTTGTTTATTTATTTATTTATTTTTTTTTTTTTTTATTTACTCTCTCTTTAAGAGCTTCACGAATGGCTTCAAGGCAAGACTTTGGGGTGTCTGTACCGTGCAGTTCAGTTGACAACTCCGTCATTTTATTTTTATTTATTTTATTTTATTTTATTTTTATTTTTTTTTTTTCTCAGTTTTATTCCTTAATTATTTTTGTATGTTGCAGCAATACAATACAGGGCGAGGGGAGCCGATGTGTGTTCTTCTCTTTTCTGTCTTTCTGTACTCTAAAGGAACGTAATTAAAGATATAACACATATAATATATATATATATATATATATATATATATATATATATATTATAAATACAATTGTACACTGTATATGTAATTCTATACTAGTTTAATGCAGTTGAATATCTACTATAGCAAGCAAACTCTGCTCCCCCTGAACGACTGAAACGGCTAAAATGACTGTTTCTGGGGTTAGAGGGAAACTGAGGCAAAACGAAGAAGTTAGTATAGGGGAAAAGAATAAATTTATGTTTATTAAGGTCAGAGAGGATGGCAGCAGGAGACGCAATTAGGGGCTTCCTCGCCCTTTTTTTGAATCGATATAAAGAAAAATATGTTATAAATATAAATAAATTAATTTAAAGTTTTTTATCTCGTAAAGAGAGAAGATCTACGCAGATGCAGCTGCAGCCAACGACGGGAGCAGCAGGGGCCCCTCTCCGGTATGAAACGAGGTGTACATACACCGCAGAAAACGGCGAATTTAGGATTTATTTCGACGGAAACAGTTTTAATATTGTTTATAACTTCAATTTCATTTAAAAAGAGCAGAACAACCAACAAAATAAAAAGAAAAAAAACACCCTTGACTCTATGGCTTGGTGGCTGCTGAGAGCGGCGCGGTCCGTCTGGTGTCGGCGATGCTGCTGGGGTGTATATGCAGCTCGTTGGGGGTGTATTGAATGTTTTCTGGGGAAACTTTAAATAAAATTTTATTGTTTTTAGTTTATTCAGAAGAAAAGTGAAAATAAAAATATAATTCCACTCATATTTCCCCCTTATTACTCTCCCCAGCACGACGCACACGTGGCTGGTGTTGCGGGGTGGCGTACCGTGCATGCAGCAGATGAATGTAAAGGTAAATTAATTACTTTTAATATTCAATTAAATTATTTATTTTGTCTTTTATATAAATTTGTCTCTTTTTGTTTCTTTTCTTCTCCCGAGCTCGCCTCTGTCCCGCAGCCACAGTCCGCCCCCACGACTCAACAGAGCAGCAGCAGCTGCAGCAAACGCAGAGTTGTATAGAACTGTTCTTTCTTTTCTTTTTTTTTCTTTTTATTAAAACTCTCCGACTTGTTTCCTTTCATACGCGCATAGATAGCTGCGATCTCTCGCGGTTTGGGGGGGGAGCTGGGTGCACGGGGTGTAGCTCTGCTGTATAGACTGGGTCTTCTTCCTTCTCTTCTCCTCTTTGACCTGCATAGACACCCCAGGCCACCCCAGAAGCGATGACAACACCAGGCGGCAGCAGTCTCCGCACAACCCCCAATTCCACCTCCCCCAATGAGTCTCCTCAGCAGCAGCAACAGCAGCAACAGCAGCAGCAGCAGCAGCAGCAGCAGCAGGAGGTGTCTGCTGATCCCCCCGCTGGAGTTCGGCGGCGTTTCTCTTCTGCTGGAAGCGAAACTGCAGCAGAAAGTGCAGCACAGAGTCCAGAGCTGCGGGGGGGGCAGGGAGGAGAGAGAGGGGGCAGCAGCAAGCAGCAGCGAGAGAAGAACAGAGAAAACAACAAATACACAGAAACAAATAAACTCGATACTGCAACAAATACACTTCTCTCTCCCAGCAACAAAACAACAAAAAAAGATAGTTTTATGCATGCAACAGAAAACTGCTGTTTTCCATCAAAATTAGATTTCTTTGACCCAAACTCAGAGATAGCCAGATCCCCCTATAGAGGCTTCGCTATACTCTTGTGTAAGCACAGCTCCTGCTGCTGCTGCTGCTGCTGCTGCTGCTGCTGCTGGTGGTAGTGCTGCTGCTGCTGCTGGTGCTGCTGCTGCAGCATCTCCTGCGGGGTACATACACCGCAGCTGCATGCAGACAAAGCAAATTCTCTCGCTGATATAACCCGCATACTAAACCCAGCAAACGTTTACATACATATACATACATACATATAAATATATATATGTATATACATATATATATATATATATATATATATATATATATAAACTCTGCTTGTGTGTTTGTGTATACAGTTATTTGTTCTGCGTTTTATTTGGTGGCGAACCCAATAATGCGGTGGTATGAGCGGGGGGAGTACTTCGATAAGTCGGTGCGTTCAGGTGTATGTACACCTCAATTTAAAAATAAAAAAAAATATTTTTTGCTGCATATCTGTATTATATTTATTATATTTTATTTTGTATCTACTTTGTTGTAGTTGTTTTTTTCTTGTTTAAAATAAATGCTGTTTTTTTCTTTTTTTTTTTTTTTTTTTTTTTT